AATGAAATTTTGCCATCTGTAACAATGTGTATGTACATAGACGGTATTGTGTTGAGTAAAGTACGTCAGCCAGAGAAAGACAAATGCCATATGATCTCACTTATATGTGGAATCTAAAGAACAAAATAAACAAAACAGAAAGAAACTCATATATAAGGAGAACATTTTGATGGTTGCCAGTTGGAAAAGGGAAAGGGATTAAGAAGTACAAATTGATAGTTAGAGAATAGTCATGGGAATGTAGGGTATAGTATAAGGAATATAGTCAATAATATGGTAATAACTTTGTATGGTGTCAGATGGGTAGTAGATTTATTGAGGTGATCACCTCGTAAATTATAAAAATGTCTAATCACTATGTCATACACCTGAAGTTGTATGTCACTTTAATGGAAAAATAAAACAATTATTTAAAAAAAATTATTCTGAATAATGTTATCTTTTTCTCTGAAACCTAGATCCCCGTGTTGATCAAGTGTAGTAAGTTTTGCTCAAGTTTTTAGAATTAGTTTCCACCTCAGACTGTTAAAAGTCCCATATCCTCAAAAGAACATCCCCCCAATCTCCTAAGGCTGCAGTTTCAAGACTACACTTTGTGACCACAGCGGGATGCCAGAAAGGGCAAAGGAAGGTGACTCTAGTGCCTAGGGAACAGTCTCAGAGCCACAGGGGAGCAGGGGCCCTGCCAGGTCATCCAGACCCCCCTCCCGCCTTTGCCTTTGGGACAACAGGTGCACCTCCCACTATCTCCAGGAGAAGGGGGACTAAGGAATTTCATGGCGGTGATGAAGAGGCAGGAGCTGAGCATTCAATTTGAAGTGCTGGGATATATCACCTTGTGAAGAAAAGAGAAACCTGTTCTGAGCCTAAGGGAGGGTAAGACATTGTCCTGTCTTTCAGATTGCCCCAGGCTGCTGCAAACCTGCTTGCCTGTTGTCCAAATTTAATTAGCAAATAATCAAGTCATGCAAACAAAAGTTGCTTTCACATGATTATGAGACCCTTAGAACTATCCAGTTTGACTTTGGCGGGGGAAGGAGCCTCAGTTTCCCTCTTTCTTGGTTCTTCCTTCCTCTCTATAATGGGAAATTGAGCTCCACGTGTCATTGACATTGTGAAAAACTGAACCCACACGAAGTTCAAGCTTGATAAAAGTCTGTTTCCTGGACACACCTTCCAGGGATGTGTATAAAAAGTGAATCTACTTCCCCTGAGGGGACCTGGGATCTGCTCCAGTATAATGGGAGGAGTGCCTGGGACTCTGCTTGCCCTTCACCAAGAGCGATTTCCTGTCCTCGTTCCCACTGGAAGCCTTCTCTGACCAGCTGAGGCAGCAGCATGGCCCTGGTGGGGACGAGTGCTGAGCAGCAAGATGGCCCACGCTGGTCACGTCTCCCTGGACAAGGCGGAAATAAATCACACCTCGGCCCCTGCTTAAGATCTGATGAAATTCTCCATTTCCGCTCCAAATTGAATTCCTCCCGAAGGATTGGAGGCTCCTGAGTAATGAGGGCGTTCCTTCCTCCTCTGCTAGACGCATGTTTCAAATTAACTGACATAGCCTTCTAATCTGGGTGGGGAGGTAGCTGTTCAGAACAGCCTTGAGAAACGGTTTTCGGTCCAGAAATGATATTTTTAATCTCAGAGGGGCAGGGCGGCCATCCCACGTGGCCTTTGTGGGGAGGCAGCCCGCCCGTGGTAACCTGGGAAAGAATGAGAACACGTGTCCTGCTGTCACTCTGTGTCGCCCCCCGGCTTTGCCCCCTCTCTTGTCCTCCTCTGCTACTTGTAGCGAAAGAGAATTTACTATGGAGAACACAAGCAAGAGGGCTTGTGCGTTTTGAGTCGAAAATACAACTTTCCTGCCCATCTTTTATTTGGGAAAAACTGATAAACTGTGATTTAAAAAAAAGAAGAACAGTCTTTAGGATGAAGATGTCATTTGAAGTGATTACCTTCCATCCCCTGTAATGATGATAAATGGACAGTTGGCCATTTGTAGAGGCAGTTGACACAGGCCTTTTCAGGGGGAGGAAAAAGGAAACCCGTTTTCAAATGGGCACTGTCAGAGTGAAGACGGATGACCTGCTGGCTGATTAGGACTATGAATAAGGCTCTGAGAACCAGGAATGTGTGAGGAGCCCAGGGGTAAAACATAAATCAAGGTTAAGGTAGGGCTAGAAAATCCTAAACATTCATTCTGTTATGAATGTGGGCATGAAGCAGATTATCTGTTGGTAAAGGAATATTTAACATTACTCCTTGACGTGAACTTAAGAGCATTCAACTTTTCTTCACTCACTGTTTTAAAAAGCAGTTTAAAAATTCTACTTACCGTGAGAAATTCTGATGTTTAGTATCAAAAGGAGAGGAAGAAATTCTTGAAAGAAAATGCTATTGGTTCTATTATGTCAGAATTTTGTTAACAACGTTTTAGAAAGGTTATCAAAACCTTACTCCATGTTTTAATCTAGTTTTAAGAAAGAAGCCATTTTCTTCATAAGGAAATATAACCCCAGAGCACCCCACAGGTAAAACCCAACCTTAGAGGGCAAACTCTGCAGCAGTCGGATTTGGGGTCTGGTTCTCAAGTGGAAAATTGCTTTTCAGGGAGAAGGTCATGTTTTTCATTGATAATGGGGCAGGTCATTTCTATCCAGTGAAACTCCCTTCTTTCCTATCTAGGAGGATGTTTAAGCTTTGGCCTTTCTCAGAGGACATTTGTCCCAGGCCAGAAAGAAAGGATTGAGGATGGAAGTGGGAGTTTAGGTGGGATTCCAGCAATGCCAGGGCCTGTCCTGAGCCCAACCAAGATGTCCCGGGGCCCGGGGTGGTGCCTCCCAAGTATTGGCAGGTGGGAAGGAGGCCTGGTGGAGTGGACACAGACTGCTGGAAGAGGAAAATTAAAGGGCAAGGAAACACAATGCCACCCCCCACACAGCTGCCTTTGTACATTCCTTCAGGCCCTCGCAGACTTTGATATTTGCATAAATGGGCCTGGGCTAGGCTTCCCCACTGGGACAAAACAGCTAGTGGGTCACCGAGGACAGGGCAGGCTTTTTCTCAAGAACAGTTGTCAGCTTGTGTAACCTTCCCGAGTGGAGCAGACTGGTCAGCCTTAGAGTCTCTAACTATGGTGCACCGTCTGGGTCTCTGGTCCACCGACCCCTCTGAGGCAGGCTTGTCTCTGAGCCTGTTTATAAGGCCTGATGTTACTTGTGTTTTGTTTTAGCCAAAAGGGTGAAGTGCTGCCAACAGTATGTCTGGAATGTTATTTACTTGGTACATTTCTGTGGCTTTTCTTTGTAGCACTGCACATGCCAGAGCAAGGGGTCATTTACTTGAAAATGCCAGGTTGCACAGTCTCTCCTCTACAGGGCGACTTTCTCGGTAATAGGGTAATAGGAAGTTTCCCTCTTATGCCTCTCAGTTCCCTCCCTCTCTCCCTCCCTCCCTCATTTCCTCCCTTCCACCCTCCCTCCCTCCCTTCCTTCCTTCTTCTCTTCCTTTCTTCCTCCCTTCCTGTCTTCCTTTTCTCCTTCCTTCCTGCCTCCCTCCCTTCCTCCCTACATTCTTTCCTTCCTTCCTCCCTTACCCCCTTCCATCTTTCCTCCCTCCCTCCCTTTGTTCCTATCTTTTTTTCTGAGTTAGTGCTCTAAAGTCTTGTTGGTGCCTGCTGCAATGCGCCGCTGTGTCCTAAATGCCCCCGATGCACTTTTAATATCTGGAGTTTCTGGTGGACTCTGCTGTGAGCCTGGCAGACACTTTTTCATTTGCGTGTCTGCCCTGTTATTATTTCATATAAAAGCTGTCTGTTTTGGCACACGACTCCCGTGATTTCAGTTGGGCTCTCTGAGCTGAATGGGTGATGTTGTGCAAGGAAAATACAGGTGGGGTTTTCTCTACTGGTGGCCGCGGGGGCGGAGGACGAATCTGCAAGCCGCCCTGGCTTGTGTAGAGCTGACACAATTGCTAACAAATGGCTTTTGAAGGAAGAAACCAGTGTGTACAGTTTCTTAATTTGGAAGGTTTCACAACTGTTTTTGTTCAATTGAGGGAGGAGAGATTTTTTTTTTTTAAAGAGCAAATTCTTCATTAATAAGACTGTAAACAAGTCCCGGACAGTGAGACATGCTGACGGTGGAAGCATAGGAGGTATTCTGTTTACCTCTTCCCTCTTCAGCCTCCCCCCTCCTCCCATATGTCTGTGCCATTCTAATCATGGTATTTTGAGTTCTAAAACAAAGTATGGAAAATGAGATTAGATAAATCTCCTTGACTGGTGCCAGCCCTGGGGCCGTTCTGCACACCTGGGTACGTTAACTCTCTCTCTCCCTCTCCCTCTCCTTCTCTCTCTCTCTCTCTCTCTCTAGTTTTCTTATACCGTGAGCACATGTAAGCATCTACAGATAGATGATAGCATTGAAACCTTTGCTTTACAGAGACTCAACGTTTACCTAAGTCTCTTGGAAAAGTCACCCGTCCTGGCACCTGTTAGTTTAACTCTGGAACAGCCCCAGTCTGAAATGGAAAATTTTTGGTTCCACTCTCCTCAGCCTTTCCTGTCCTTCTGCACAACTTCTCAATTTGTTCATAAGCCACTCGGATTTTTGGCTGAAAGGTCTCCTTTGATCATCTCTTGACAGCATGGGCTTCACATTCTCACACCTGCTCTTCTTTTACAGTCCAGATTTCCGAGTAAATGCTTCCATTGCCTTGTAATTTCTTCAGTGTAAAACTGGGGTGCAGGTTACTGATTACAGGTAATAGCTGTTTGATGACGGAGACAACTGCTTGGCAGAAACGGCAACCTGAACCGCTGCCAGAAATGTAAACTGCCACTTTATGCATTTCTGAAAGCATCTAAGCTGCAAGCCTATCGGTCATGATGTAGCATGCACATGATAATAACAGGCTCCCGCTGAGAACACTGCCCCATGGGGCAGCCACCGAGGACAGGCTCTAACAAGACTCCGTGTTTTCTCCCTCATTATCCACAGCCCACACATCATCTTCCTCTCTCAGAGCATGTTGACTGGAAGGAGCCACCTCTGTGGGACCCGTCTCTGCCATGAAATCGCTCATGCCTGGTTTGGCCTAGCTATCGGGGCCCGCGACTGGACAGAAGAGTGGCTGAGTGAAGGATTTGCCACTCACTTGGAAGATGTCTTCTGGGCCAAAGCACAGCAGGCAGGTTTACAGTGACCCTAAGCATTTCACTCCCTGGAGTCAAATTCTATTCACAGTCCTTCGTTCATTCAACAGATACGTCCTGAGTCCTTCGTACACACTAGGTACTAGGTACTGCTCTTTCTCACTGGGGAGCGAGAGAAGTCCCTGCGCCCTGTGGGGTTCGCAATCTAGTGATAGGAGAGAGACTCCACAAACACACACATCTGTGGCCCGGTCAGGTGGAACAGTGAACCAGATAATGAGGGGAAAGTGCTGTTTCAGAAGGCACTAAAAGAAGGCCTCTCTGTAAAGGGGCCGTTTGAGCAAAGGCTTGCAGAAAAGGTCATGCCGAGGCTACTCAAGCACTACTTTGTGGTTCTGGCTGTGGTGACATTGACTGTGTTTGGCTATGTTTTTTTTAAACAATGAGATTAAGGTAAATTGGGAGTCATAATCTCAGATGTCTGCTGGCAAGTGGTGCAGAATGGAGCCCGTGGTGTTACAGGTTAGGGGATGATGAGGACGGTGGGAAACCGTCGCTGCTCCCCCTCTCTAACCAATGGCCATGTTGAAGGGAGGGCTCAAGATAGCTAGATGCTTCGCTTTTCAAAGAAAGTTAGAAATCTGGATTTGTATGTGAAATTTACTAACTTGAAAAATATTATGCAACCCGAACATGCCCAGAGGCCAGAATGGGTCAACACATTCCCAGTACAACCTCTGCTTTAAAGAACTAGCCGCCAATTTAATGAGGATATAGCAGCTAAACTGCTTCCTGCTTATTTTCCAGTTCCTAATATTTGGTCATTTGTTTTCCCTACCATTCCTACCCCTTACACACATGACTATTTAACATTTTCTGAGGTTTCCACGTTTGTGCATACCCGTCTGACTTTGTCCAAGTTCCTTGTGCCCGTTGAAATCCTCTGCATTGTTCAGCAGCCCGCTCAAGGGCGCCTCTGGATAGCCCAGGTTGATCATGCTGCTCCCAAGTTAACACTACTCAAACGCTACCACAGGATTGAGTACTCACCTTTTTTTCTCACTTTTTCCTTCTTCCTTCTCTCCCCACTTCTAGACTATGACCTCTTTCAAAGCAGAGCTATGTCTGACTCCAACTCCCACCCCTGTAGAGCTAGCAGTGCCGACATCCGTGTCCCCTTCCATACAGAGGCCCATGAAGAGAGGCCATGTGGCATATTTGGGAAAGAAGACGAGGTTCAGAGCCTGACCAGCCTTGGAATCCAGCTCTGCTGTGCACCACCCTTCCTGAGCCTCAGTTTCCTTATTTGTGAAGTGGGTCTGAGGATGCTCACTCTTGCAGAGTGACTAGGATAACGTGTAAATGAGCTTAGCACAGTGCCTGACACATGGCAGGCATTCAGTAAAGGTTAAATAAGTTTCATATAAATGTGCCTCTATCACCTTCTCTTCCCTGGGTGCTTCCATCCTGAGACAATCAGATTTGTGCTATTCTTGGTAACTGTGAATGTATTTCAGGCATCTGACAATGACTTTTTCTGTCCTTTTGCCTCCTGCATCCCCAGAAAGCACTCCTCTACCCTCCCCCCTGTCTGCACTTCCAGGGGTCGTTCCTGAGTCTCTTTGCAGGGGTCCCCCCTCTAGCTGCCCTGAGTGCGTCCATCTCCACAGACAGAGGCACAGAGCCAGCCTGGCTGCATCTCACAGCCACACACCTTCCATGTATCCATGCTGTGCTCGATCTGTAGGGATAAGGATGAATAAGACACAGCCCTGCTCTGAAAGAGGTCATAGTCTAATAGAGATAAGAAAAGCACACAATGGAAGGAAGAAGAAAATAAGTTAGAAAAGAGGTAAACACCAAGTATTGTACACGTTCAAAGGTGGGAGAGGCCGTGTCTGAGACAACCCAGAAAGCCTTGTTGGAGGAGGTGACTTCTGACATGGGCTCACAGGGAAAGTAGGAGCTGAGGTTTCTCTGTCCCTTCTTTTTCCCTGACCTGGCGTAGGGGACAGCCCAGCTCGTCATCGTTCAAGGTGCGTGCAGTGACTCTCCAGTATGTGAAAACACGGACACCCCGAGGCGAAGTGGCCATTGTAGAACCAGCACAAAGTTGGGGGATATTACCAGAGCACTTCCATCACTCTGACCTCTTCCTTGAAGGCTGAGTGAGACTGAGCTGCAACTGGTCCTTGACAAGTGTCCTCAGCAGACCTTCCACACCAAAGAGGAGCGCTGCTCTGGACAGGGAAGAGTGGGCCACCTCACAGGACTCGCCAGGGCAGCAATGGGCTTTCCCAGGGAAGAGGGCGTGAGGGCTATCGGTCACTCTGCAACACCGAGCAGTAGCAAGCATGGCAGCTGGGGAGTGGGAAGTCATTGAACAAGGAGCTAGAAATCAGCACTCAACTCCAGAGTGGCATGCTGTACGAGAGGTGAATTGAGTTAGCTGTAAGATTGAATGTATAACTTGTCATCAACCAGGATAAAGTCTAAACTCTTTCACAGGTGATTTAATCAGCTTGGGCTGCCATAACAAAACACCACAGACTGGGAGGCTTGAACAGACATTTGTTTTCTCACAGCTCTGGAGGCTGGAAGTCCAAGACCAACGTGTTGACAGGCTTGGTTTCTCTCTTCCCTGGCTTGGTGACGGCTGTCTTCTCATGGTGCCCTCACATGGCTTTTCCTCTGTGCCCACGTGGAGAAAGAGCTCTGGTGTCTCCTCTCTCTCCTTCTCAGGACACCGGTCCTGTTGGATGGGGGCCCCACCCCTCTGACCTTATGATCCTTAATCACCTCCCTAAAGGCCCCACTTCCGGTATAGTCACCTTTGGGGTTAGAGCTTCAACTTATGAATTTGGGGGCAGAGGGAGGTCACTCCGTTTATAACAACAGGACACACAAAGTCCACTGATCATTTGGCCTCTGCTGGCTTCTTGGCACCTCTGTCGCTCTCCAATGGCAGCCTGCTCCTCGCCTGACCACATCCCTCGCTGTTCTCGAAACACTTCATTCTTTTTCCAAGTTCCACAAACCTTGCACATGATTTCCCGCTTCTGAAATTCCCCCTCCCCTGGCTGACTCCTGCTTTCAGGGCCACCAGCTCAGGCCCTCCCTCCTTCTCAGGAAAGCCTTGTGACCGCCCTGACTGGCCAGGGGGCACCCGGTTCTTCCTTCACCTCTATCGTAACGTTCTGATGTTAGTGTTCTTAGTATCCACCCACCCCCACCCCACACTCCACGGGGTAGGGACTGGATACACAATGTCCCCAAGGCCTAGCAGAGACTCGGGATATATCTGTTGAATGAACTACTAGAGACCTGTCATTTCCAGAAGTGCCCCTGGATACTGACATTTTCGTCCCTGTGGATATCCTGTTGCCCTCCTTTCAAGAGACTATAGCCATGAGACCTGGTGGGCACATCCAATGACAGTGGCTGACTGTGGCAGGTAGGGCAGGGCTCAGTGGCCTTCCTCCTCCTGCAGAGCGAGCCCAGGCAGCACACTGTGTCTGGTTATATGCAAACAGAATCATCTGGGTTGCATTAGCAGGCCCCACTGTAAACAAGCCCTTCACAAAACTGAGGGCTGGGAAAATAGGAGGTAAGGGTCAGGGCCTTCCCCACCCTGCACAGAAAGACAAAGCAGGAAAGGGCTGGATGGAACCAGAGTGGAAATGGCCCCCTAGGGAAGCCTCTGCTCTCTAGGGCCGGGTAGGGGGAGGTTCTGGGACCAGGGGGCTCCTCCCAAACAGGCAGCAGGGGAGCGAGCAGCTGGTTCCTTGTTGGAGGACCTGAGAGGCCCCTCTGGCCCCTGACTTTTCTGAGGGGCATGAGGTGCCGCAGGGAGGCCGTCTGGGCCATGGTCCCTGAAACAAAGCCAGCTGCTCCACGGGGGGCCCTGACCTCGCAGGAGGACAACAGTGACTGTGTTTTATGCACGTGTGTTTGTGTGTCTGTGGCCCAAGCAGCTGGCCCCCCATGAGGCCCGGGAGCAGCAGGAGCTGCGGGCTTGCCTGCGCTGGCGACGCCTCCAGGACGAGGTGCGGAGCTCCCCGGAGGAGATGCAGGTGTTGAGGTAAAGCGCCATGCGACCCCTGGACCTGGTCTTCTCTCCCGCCCGCTCTGCCTTCCCTGCTCGACACATCCAGGCCCTGTGTTAAATACACTGCTTTTCCTTCGCAAATTAAATTGGACCAGGTTACTCATTCTCCCAGGGACGGGTTTGTTATGTTTTAAGTCTTTCAGGGTGTGGGTTTGGATTTGCCTCCTGACATTTTCCTAGTGTCTCTATTCAGGAAGAAAACTAGCACAAGGCCGTTTCCGGACCGAATTCTTCCTTTGAAGTTCTAATAGTCACTCCATGTGGTGGCTTCGGACTGGGAGAAGGCTGGGTTTGGTAGCCTGGCAGACAGTAACCCTTTAAAGCCAAAAGGGGGGAAAAAACCTTTAGGAAAATATTGATTCCTAAGTGTTTAGTAGTAACAGATGTTTGTGTCAATGGGGCCTTTTGTTCCGATATGTCCCCGCGGGAGGCCATCCTGTGGGAGGATTCTAGTCCCAGCTCCTCCGTTTTGTTTTCAGTGTCTTGCCGCACTTGTCGGATTACTTCTTGCCATTTTTCCATTTTTGTGCCACTCTGCTTTGCTCGTTTTTTTCTTCACTTCTCTGAATAGTTGTTTATCTGAAACCTGGAGCCTAGGCCCCAGGAGCACTGTGGTTGCTATGGCAACAGAAGCTTTCATCCTGCCTGCCACCTCGACTACAGCCAAGTGTTTGGAATCCGCAATCAGACAGGTGGGAAGGCAGCCATCCGGGAATCATCTCCACTTTAGATGGCAACCTTGAAGGCCCGTCCACCTCCTGGGCAGAAAGAAGCCTGCCTAAAACGTTCTGTGTTGTCTCTGTTTTTAAATAAACACCCCCACTCCGCAGTGACTGCCCACTGAGGTCCAAGTCAGAGGGAACTGCTGAGCCCAGCCTGACCCCGGAGTCTGGCCGGCGCTTCGTGCAGCATTGCAGCACGGGCTGGCTGTGTTTCCCAGGGAGAAGTCACTGCTTGCTTGCACGCTAGCTGCTGCCATTGGCGCTGACTCACCCATTGTTCAGGACAGCCAGAGCCTGGAGCCCTGCAGTCCCCACCCAATGCCACTTATCGAGCATCTGTTCACTCAGCTAGTGGGAAGACCCCACCCACGTCCAACGTGGACAGGGGCGCTGCTCTCACGAAGCTTCCACTTAGTGGGGACCCTGTTGTGTGCACAGCTATTATAGGTTCAGGTGGTGAGAAGGGACACGAAGGGATAAGATGATTTATAGTAAGGAGGCTGGGAATGCCCCTCTGGGAGAAGCACGAAGGCCCTGAGGCAGGAAAGCCCTTGGCTTGCAGGTGCAGGGTAGTGTAGCCAGAAGGGCAGGGAGAGAGGCGGAGCCAAGCCCTCTAGCCTTACTCCACGTGCAGTGCAAGCCGCCCAGGGCCTCGAGCACAAGCAGAGAAGGCTCCTGACCTGTCTTGTGGTTTTATGGTGCTGCTCTGACTGCAGTGTGGGATGGACCGCAGACAGCACACGGAAAGCAAGGAGAAGGGTTAGAACATTGTAGTTGTCCCTAAAGGAGTCCTGGTGGTGGCCGTGACAGACTCAAGAAGCAGACCTATTTGAGACTTGCTTTGGCAGTGAAACTGGCAGGTCTTTGGTCGACTGAATGTGGAGAAGAAGGAAATGAGTGTCCAGAATGACTTCTAGGCTTTTGACTTGAGCAGCTGAGCAAGATAGATGGTGAGGCCATTTGGTAAGATAGCACGGACTTTGAGAGGAGCAGGCTTTGGAGGGAAAAGTAAAGATCCCAGTTTCGCATGCAGTAAGTTTGAGATGCCAAATAGCTATTCAAAACTGAGAGCTCAGTAGGGTCTACAAGTGAGGGGCTCATTGGAGAGACTGGAACATTTGGCCTATACATACTTAAAATTCTGAGCACATTGAAATCACTAGGGAGAGAGGAAAGTGAGAGAAGAGGTTGGGAGGAAGTTGAGGGTCCAGCAGAGGAGCTGGGGAAATCGGTGCTGAGAAAACCCAGACACTCGGGCTTGTGGAAGCCAGGGAAGAAAGTCAGGGAGGTGGGAGTGCGGTATTGGATGCTGCTGAGGGTGTTTAAAAGGGAGGGACGGAAAGGACAGAAAGATGTGACCTGGACATGCATGCATTTATTCATGAGTGCTTGAGAAGGAAGCCAGATTGGAGTGGGTGGAAGAGTGGATAGGCGGTCAGGAAGCAGACAGTGAGTGTGGACTTGGTGTGGGAAGTTGTGCTCAGAAGAGAAGCAGATGACGGTCAGAGAGGCTTGTTTTAGGGAGGCTGACGCAGGCGCATGCTTAGGGATGAGCTGTATAACTGTGCCAATCCTGCCACCTCTCAAGATTCTTTCTCTCCATTCCCCAAGTCTCTAAGTCCCTCTGAAGCCTCCAGGTCTGCATGACACAGTCCTTCAGTGGGGGGAGGGACATTATATTTAATATTAGCTGATGAGATGTGTTTCGTAAGCAGTCCGCCTGCACACTGGGAGGACAGTACACAGGTGAGGAGAGCCTTATCTTTGGACCCCACAGAGCTTGATCAACCCAGCTTTTGGTGGCCAAGAGCTTTTCCTTCGTGTATGGAGGCAGGAGAAAGAATCCACTATTTTTAGACCTCTGTGCTGGAAGACTTATTATGGCATTTGTTTTTCTTTGTCTTAGTATTCAGAAATTATATTTGCCTAAATTAGGGCTCACCATGAAATGACTGCATTTCAAAGACTTGCTGCACATCATTTCGGAAAATATTGTTATCAGATGTGCTTACAATGAAGAGGAAATGTTTTTGAGCCTGCCCCGAATTATATGGTCTAGGTTTAGTTTACTTCCATCTCTTAGGACTCTCCCTTAAATGGACACAGAGAACCTAGAAATTACAGAAAGTGAAAGGAAGAACCAGGGTTGTAAAAATTTGTTCTCAGATTTTATTTTGTTTCACTATGCAATAAGACCTTAGGAAAGAAGTCTCTTCAAATAATACAGTGATCTAAGATGCTACCTTTTTTTATTCTTGTAAGATACCCCGTGGTCTTTAAATGATAGACCAAGAACAATTTAGCAGCCTCAGTTTGTGTCTTGGTCCTTCCTCCAGGTTGCCAGGTGCAATGGAAACGTCTCTTACCCATCCTTACAGCAGCTTTCAACATGGTTGGCCACTCCCTCCTAAAAACACTTTCTTCGCTTGGCTTCTGTGTGCCACCCTCTCCTGGATTTCCTTCTGCTTTGTTGGCCAATCCTTCCTTACCTCTCCTGCTGGCTCTTTCACGTTTTCACTGAGATGACTCAAGGCTCCAAAGGACTGAGTATGGTGTCTGACATCACACAGCTAATAAAGACCAGAGTGGGACTTAAACTGTCCTCTTTTCTCTGCACCATCTCCCGCCTTCAAATAGCTCGGTATCGCGTTTAGTTGCATTAAAATAGAAATACTCCCTGTATCTTGAACTGAGGAAGGATGTGAAGGGAGGGGTAAAAGAGGTATCCTGGACGAAGCATCTTTGTCTTTTTACAAATGAAAGAGCACGTATCTGATTTTTTTTCAGTAGATAACAGGAAAAAAGAAAATTCAGCATTGTGTTGGTTATAGATACTGGAGTATTAACAAACTGAGAGGAGAAAAAACCTAAAATTTTGTTGGGCTCTGACTTGCTGATTTCATTAATTTTAAGAACTGTTTTCCATTTGTGCCTTCCATACATCCAGTGTTGAATCATGGCTCTCATCAAATGCATCTTAGATCGACGATGTGGTTATAAGTTTCCTTTGGTGACAGTAATTATACTTTTTTATATTCTCCTAGGCTTCTCAGCCGTTCTTGGCTGGGGAGCCTATAATGTGGCTGCAGGCTGTTGAGGTGTGACTATTTGCTCATAGTTTCAGAATGCTAGGGGTCACATTACTGACTGTGCCTTTTGTCATTTGTTAATTATTAAAGATGCCTTTCCTGTAGGCGAGACCCCCATGGCTCTCTGCAGGCCCTCCCTCGCCTCTCCACCAGCTCTGGGCAGAACTGTGCACCGGGCCAAGCCTGATCTCACTGTCATCCTACCTATTCTGCCCTGCCTGGCCGCCACCTCTTCACTTTCT